GTATTATTATTATTATTATTATTATTATTATTATTATTATTATTGTTATTGATACTGTTATTATCAGTATTGTTTTTTTTGTTATTTTTATTATTATTATTACTACTACTACTATTGTTGTTGTTGTGTTTGTCATCATTACTGTTATTATTAGTATTATTATTATTATCATTATTTTTATTATTATTCATATCATTACCTTGAACTTTCAGGTCAAAGTTTCTATAGTTATAACGACCGCTTCTGTCCCACGTTTCGGAAGTGTATTCAGCTTGATCGGATTTCTGCATATTTTTAATCGAGAGAATAGCACGATCAACATATCAAGTGTTGTTCTATGTAATACTCATTATTCCTGGAAGGAAATTTCTTTTTTAAAAAAGTATGTTTTTAAATTTTAATATGTTTAAATAAATTCAATAATAACTTACCAAGACTTTTATCACGGTTACCCTTTTTTGACCATCTAACATTAGAGTACACGTAATTAACAACAGTACAGGTTACGGTCACGTTATCACCTACAAAGAGTTCCTCAAAATTCTTGTCAATTTGAAACAGATTTGTGATATCCTTTTCATCTTTACGAAGTAGAAAATACAAAAAAGTAAGTAAAATTGCGGAATGAAAATTTTTTATAATATTTAAATTAAAATCATAGAGAAAAATTTATGTACCAGTAATACGAATACGTATTGGTTTAGATTTACATTGATGACTGAAAGCTACACATTCTAATCGACTGAATGTAGTTACATTTATTGTTATTTCAGAACTAGTTACATCATAATTTGGCAATAAAAATTTTTTCCCCTAAAAATAAAGTAAAACATAATAATCTGAAGTTAACTTCGTTTACTTAAGAATGTTGAAGTACTTCTTCAAATGATAGGACGTAAGAGAGGAATTAACTCTTTTAGCATAACATAATATTCCACATTATACTTATGATCACATTGTTATACTCTCGAGTTAATATTAAGTTAATTTAAAAATTATTCTTTATGTAGCGTAAAAAATAAATATATTTAAGCTACATACGTATGTATTCGTAAGAAAGCGTCTCATTGACATCAGACTAGTTTTTTAAATTTTTTCATCGTTTGCGATTCCGCTTCAACATCCACGAATGAGAATTACTCACACTACTACACAGATTAATCAAATAAATCCTTATAATGAAGCAAAAATCACCTCAAACTCAAAGTCCTTGCAGCCCTCGTCGGAATAATATGTTGGGCATTCTTGGTAGAACCACGTTACATTGGGCTTAGGTGAACAATGGCTCGTACACCTGAACGTTGCATTTTTATTCATTTCGTAAAAAGGTTTAGCGCCATCAACATCAGAAATATAGATAGTTGGCAAGCAATTTGGCTCTGAAATTTATTTTTTAATGATTACTATGTTACAACTCAAGGCCAAAAAAGTAAAAAAAGTCTTAGATCGTCCGAGTACGGTGAACAGATGATCCAAGGCTTTTATACATTTAGCCATATAATTTATGTATACGATTTTTTGGATCGGCCTGAATATAAAAATTCCCAGCCATCGTGTTGGTATAGAAAAAATTTATGTAAAAATTAAAGTGGCAAAAATTATTATAAAATCGAATTTACTGTAAATTTTAAGAGTGAAACATAAGGATTTTACTCCAGCACTGTTGCTCGCCCTCAAAATGTAAGTGCCTTGGTTAATCTTTGTTGGTCTGAATATCATCAAACTGCTCGTGGACGTGGTATGCGATATGATAAAATCTTTTCCCAATTTCATAACATTTCTTCGTGGGCGCTGCCTGAAAACTTTTTTTATAAAAAATTATATTTAGTGTATTTCTAACAAGGGATATATTGTTTATACAGCTGGAAAATTTTATAGTGAAATCATTTTTTACCACTTAAGAGTTGGCTTCGGAAACGCATCTACGTCAGCAATAAAAATTACGGGATTGCCAGATTCTACTGCAAAGTATCCTTTCCCTCTATTATACGTTAAATTGAGGTATGTATAATCATGATCTGCAACAAAATGAATGAAAAATATTGAGGTTTTAATCTACATATTCAAATAATTTAAAAAAACAATTAACCCACCATGTAACTTACCGTGTATTGTTATATAGATATTAGTTTTCTGATCTTCACTGAGCCGGGATGTTACTCGACAAGAATAATATCCTCCATTACTGAAAATCACGTTAGTCAGAACGAGTTTAGATGTCACCAACGAAAACAAACTTTCATTTTCTTCTACGTAGTTGAAAATTGTCCTGGAACTCTAATAACCATAAAAATTCGTATATGTAAGAAATACTGATTGATTACGGTACATGAGATAGATTTAGATACATTTTAATTTTAAGTTGTAATACCGTAAGCAATCAATTTTTTAATTTACAGAACATTTTCTGAGTGCATGTTTTATCAATAACTTTCAATGATACGTACAAAATTTTATTCAGCTTGTACTTATGCATGTAAATATTAAAAAATTATGTTTTGCCTCTTTATAGGAGTTAGTTTTGTATTTTGCGAAAATAGCATTGATTGCCTATCTGTGTTGAAAACATCAAATAACCTATCAACCATTCTCTCTAAATTTGGAACAAAATTTCTTAAGCTGTATTTTCCATTTGTTGGTTCTATTAAAAAATTATGTTAAATATGTGAAAAATATATAACAGAGCTTCTTAAATTTAAAAAATAGAACATGTCAAAAAAATCTTATCACAAACTGAAAGAAAATGTATCCATCTTGTGTATATCCATCTTATGTATCAAAATTGTACCATACTAAATGTTGACGTCGTGGCAATACATGCACATACATACATGTGCACTCAGTATAAGAAAAACTTAAAATATCTTTTAAATTGCAGAATAATTAGGCTAAGCTTTGACCTTATTTTAACCTGAAAAATAACTTTATTAATTTTTTATGACTTCTTGGGCGAATGATAAGATATCTACTTAGCATTTTTTTAAATATCTGAGTAGACATTTTTCTATTCGTGCAAGAAGTTATAAGAGATTAACAAAGTTTATTTTTAATATTAAAGAGTTAAGTCACTTTAAATTGTGACTCTATGCTCCATAAAATAAAATCGTCATAAAAATTGAATACAAAGTTTGTTATAGAAGAACTGCAAAAAAACATTTTTAAAAACGAAAAAAATTTCTGTTACAACCTTAANTTTGCTAAAATTTATCCTCAACAGATACAAAGCTTTTTCATTGTATAAGCAAAATAAACTCCAAACATGACAACAATTATTTTCATGCAAAAATTCTAAAAACTTTTTGTCAAATAAAAGAGTTTCTCAGAATGTTGATGCTATCGATTTTTGAAAAGTATAACGCAATAATCTCTTTATTGAATTAAATTAAATGAAAAACTTGTCAGAAAAAATTTAAGACTAGTCCCGATGATTGTTTTCATAATTTTATTACTGAAAAAACATAGCTTTAATTACATGTTTCGTCGAGCCTAAGGATTGTTTATTTTCTTTTGAAATTTTCCTATGTTGATGAATAAAACATTATGATGATTTTATCAGAAAAAATTTGAGACTAGTCCCGTTGCTGGTCTTTACAATTTCACGACTAAAAAAACATAGGTTCAATTACATGTTTCGTCGAGCCTAAGAATTGTTTATTTTCTTTTGAAATTTTCCTATGTTAATGAATAAAACTTTATGATGATTATGTAAATAAACTTTTAAATATTACCGAATTTGCAGGAGTCTCCCAGAAGATGTCGTAAGGGCTATTTTTTTCAATTTTAATCCTACAGTTAACGTTCAATGTAGATTCTTCAACAACGGGTTCCAAGCCATTAATATTGATCACTGGTTTTTCCAGCTCTTTTTTAGTGATTGAGAGACTGACATGTATTTTTCGCAAAAAAACATCTTGATAAACTTCACAAGTGTAGTTATTAATATCTGTGGATTCTGATTTTTCAATGTTAAAACCCAATTTCGGATCAAAAGTTATCTTACTGCTGACCACGGGCTGGGGCGTCTACAAAAAGAAATTGGAAATGTAGTGTGTATTTGGGAGTAGCCTTTAAATAATTTAAAAAACTTGATATGTTGCATACCAAATTCTTAAAAGTCGAAAGAATCACATTAAATTCAGGGGATGTCGGGCGGCACGGCAGAATTTTCCGATCATCAACACATACTCTGTGTTTCAAGATATCACTAGAGGTTTGTACGGATTTATTTTTATTGGCTGCATCAGAAAAAATAAATTATTTTACTTTTCATAGATTGTATTACTCATAATTACATGTTAAATCAGAAGTTTAAGTAAGTAAGTAGAATAAAATATTTCTTACATTCAACATAAACATACATCCAATGAACATTCGAATCGTTGAAATTTATATTTGCTACTGTATTATTGTGATTAATGCAGCTGTACCAGCCAGCATCGCCAAACACTGTTGACGGCCTTCGAAATATAGTAGTTCCACTCGTCTGATTATACTTAATATTCAACATCAATGTTGTTATCTATTAACAAATAAAAATTTTTAGAACGAAGTTCTTTATGTCGCGTTACTCGGGGGGTTGGAATTTGAAAACCGACAGATTTTTTTTTTTTTGGAAACGAAAGTGGTTTCACCCGAAGTCTCTGCCTTTCATGTTTTCCCCCTTACCCCGTCCCCCTCACCTACTGTTCTCTACACACTTCCCCTCTTCCCACTAAATATGTATATCTGCCAACCGTGCCGTGTTACTCTTCTGCACACCTTTACCCACCATTCCCCCTCACACTCCCAAGCAATTAATTTTTTAACAAATTTTAATTTTATTTTCCCACAGTAAGTTTTTCTTTGACTTTGAATTTTTTTTTCTTTTACAATTCTGAAAAAAAAAAAAAACATCTTCCACTTATTTGATTTAAACCCTCGACCTCCTGCACATGATTCCAGCACCTCACCCACTCTGCTACGAGCGTTGCTGACTAGAGAAACTCGGTTTCTTGTACTTATCGTGCGGTTCGTAACTATAATATTCCATCTTTATATGCATTCACTGATACAACATTTAATTAACGATAAATTGAGTATTTGTGTTCTAAAAAAAAAAAAAAAAATTTAATTAGCATGAATATGGTTATGTAGATTAAACATAATAAGGCGCGTTATTACGCATTAAATATTTGTATTTTATGCATTTGATGCATAAAATACCGACCGATTTTCTTTTATTTTATTTTTTTTTTTTCTTTATTTCTTGTTTTATTTTTTTTTTT